TTATTTCATCGGATTTGTAAAAGCAACACGACGGGTAGCAGATCTTGCTCCACATGTGACACCCATTATGTTGCTCATGGTACGTACACATTCGTTGATACATGTAAGTCTCATTTGGTGATGTAATGAGTAGACAAATTGTATATTTATTTTTTTGTGTGCAATTACCAGCAAGTTTTATGTTCTGGCTTGGAGGTACAGATCAGTTTGACAACAGCACAGAATGGACCTGGGTGATGACAGAGCAGAAGATAAATGAAGGGTATACAGACTGGCACCCTACAGAACCAGATCATCCTGGTATTTCAATTAACATCTTACATATGAAAAGATATATTATATGCAAAATACATTTACGCTTGTTAATAACAATCATAACATCAGCTGGTTTGAATAAAACCCAATCAATAAATAGGATGCGACAATATATTACCAATATTCTAAAGAATCCATTTGATATGTAAACACAAACAAGTGAATCAAGAATTATAGTCATTTTGTACCCTTACCATTTCGTACCCCCCATTTCGTACCCTGGAAAAAACCCATTTCGTACCCTGACCATTTGGTACCTTGACCATTTCGTACCTCATGGAATATTAACATATATACCGTTTCGTACCTCATGGAAAATTTATATGTATACAATTCATTTCGTATCTAATGAAAGTTTATATGTATGCCATTTCGTACCTCATGAAAGATTTATATGTATACCATTTCGTACCTCACGGAAGATTTATATGTATGCCATTTCGTACCTCACGGAAGATTTATATGTATACCATTTCGTACTTCATGGAAGATTTGTATTTATGCCATTTCGTACCTCATAGAAGATTTGTATTTATGTCATTTCGTACCTCATGGATGATTTGTGTGTATACCATTTCATAACTCATGGAAGATTTGTGTGTATACCAGTTCGTACCCCATTGAATGCTTGTACGTATACCATTTCGTACTTCGTGGAAGATTTTTATGTATGCCCTTTGAACCTCGAGGAAGATTTGTATGTGTTTCATTTCTTGGTTAAAAACGTCTCATTGACCTTTTGCTGTAAGGCGGTAAAAGAGGGACGAAAGATACCAGAGGGACAGTAAAACTCATAGATCGAGGTAGAGGTCACGGTAAATGCCTAGAATTTAGAATTAAAGCACCTACGAGATATTATATAGGAATAAAGTCAATAAACGATTTTGTTTTGAAATCTGTAGAACTTTTTATTTATGATATTTATTTTAAGTCTAAGCTAGCGCTTTAGTAACAGTTCACTTTTCTGCCGATAACACTGCTTTAGTTACTTTGTAAACTTGTAACTAAAGACACGCGCCGTACTGTCGTCTCGAGACAGGCGTATTGTTTTAAAAGGGTAGCATTCTATCTAATTGGATTAAAAATGTTTATTGAAGACACGTGCCATTTGAAATTGCGACGTGTGCCTACATATTGGGATATATTCTATTGATTATCATAAGGTGTAGTTGAAAATAAATAAAGGCAACAGTAGTATACCGCTTTTCGTAATTCATAAATCGATTGAGAAAAAAACAAATCCTGGTTACAAACTAAAACTGAGGGAAAAACATCAAATATAAGAGAACTGCGACACAACAGAAACACAACATTAAATAAATAAATGTATATATCATATTTTTTTTAATTTCTCGAATTGAAAAGCCATAGCAAGTTTTTTGATTGGTAACATTAGGTGCAAATTATTATGCAAACATTTTATTCATGGCCTTGTTCTTGTGTGAATATCAGCTTGTGTCCCTTTTCAGTACATTTCCTGACAAAAACAACTGTAAATAACTATAAAAACAGTTGCAGATAATTATTCCTCTGTTGGTTAATTAACCTAATATTTTAAGAGTTGAAAAATTAATTAAGGATCAATCCTGCAAACAAACAAAGTGTAAATTAAAACTATTAAAATTTGCAAGTGCTGCCTAATCATACCAATCATGGGTCTTTATAAAATTTCTACGACTTGATGCAATTTATTTATGTTACTGTATATGAAAAAAAATCATCTCAAAATGTTATGTACCTTAAAAATAATTAGAACTTCTACAAATTTAAATATATGATACGAAATGGTAAACATGTATATAGTCCCTGAGGTTCGAAATGGTAGATGAATTTGGTCCATAGGGTACGAAATAGTATTTATCGTGGGTACGAATTGGTAAAAGTTAGGTACGAAATGACAGAGGTAAGAAATGGCAGAGGTACGAAATGACTTGCTACCCTTCTAAAGGAGCGAGAACTTTTTTAAAAGTCTCTTGACATCCATCATGCATTAATTGGAATGAGATTCGAGATTCGGTCAAAACTATCACGCCAGTGAATAGGAAATTATTAAGTTTTCAAATCAGATTTCGCTGTTTTACTATCTAACATGTTTTTGTCAGTTGAACCACATACACATCGTATCGCTTAACGAATGTATGTGGCGACGGTAAAACTTTGCAAGTTTTGACAAACAAAAATGCAATCAGTCATTGTGTATTGCAAATTGTTACTGCAAATCGCAAGCTATTTACAAAAAAGGATAGAATACCTCTTCATGCTTCTTACATTTTCTTAACATGTAGGAAAACAACACTGTCTTGCAATGAGAAAAGATTTTAATTACAAATGGACTGATGACTATTGTGCTGAAAACCATGGATACATTTGTGAATCATCGTAAGTTTCTAGCAACTACATTGTACCTAGGAACCTCGTCATGGTGTAAAGTTTACAATAACTTGATAGAATCCCTCTTTAGTATATGTTCAATTAATATTGATGAATACAGCGTACTGTGTGTCATCGTTTATTTAATAAGATTAGATGATGGTTGATAAAAGTGCAGATGTTATACGTGGTATAAGTAAACAAATATGATACTTTATATAAATGTTCCGGAAGAGTAATCAGATTTTGCTTCCCATGTGGCATCTGTGGTGTTGCTCGTGTTATTAGTTAGATCCTGCTTCCCATGTGGCATCTGTGGCGGTGCTCGTGTTAGTAATCAGATTCTGCTTCCCATGTGGCATCTGTGGTGTTGCTCGTGTTTGTAAAATCTCGGTTTTAAGTTTCATTTGGTGATATGACATATTAGAATTACGTATTCAATCTTCTAGACATATTGAGTTTTTTGGAAAAGATTCATTGACTGCTACATGTGCATATAGACAAGCGTATTCGTTTTTCTGAGCAAGGTCGGAGTAAATTGTGCATTTATTACGGTTTAACAACGCTCACCACACATATTGCGATAAAATAATATGTTTTATCGAACTAGCATTATCCAAAGATTTATCACATAATATAATGAATATAAAAAAGTTGTTAAAGCAATATATTCAGAAAACGATAGTGAAAGCAAAATTTTAAACAAACAATGACTGTTTGGCGTACATTCTGGAGAAACCGTTGACATATTTTCATTGAATTATCACATTTTTGTAATATTATCAAATATAATGCATAAGGTAGACGACAAAATTAGCATACTACAGTCGTGCTTTTCACTGAAAATTAGCATACTACAGTCGTGCTTTTCGCTGAAAATTAGCATACTACAGTCGTGCTTTTCACTGAAAATTACCATACTACAGTCGTGCTTTTCACTGAAAATTACCATACTACAGTCGTGCTTTTCAGTGATAATTACCATACTACAGTCGTGCTTTTCACTGAAATTACACGATATATATTATAACACGTTCCTTTTCAACCAGGTGATTGTTTTTAAATTATTTGATTTATTATAATTGTCTTATGTTATATTTGTCAATTCATCTTTATTTTAGCAGTGAATCCGGTGAGACTGTTATTGGATAGTTAACAAGTATCTAAACAGTTCAAATAAAGAACGAATCAGTTTTAAACGGACTGTGTTGTTTTATTTTCAAAACATGTACATAGTAGTGTATGATTGTATTAGAAGGAGGCTTGCAGACACAATTTAACTTGATAATCCAGTTATATAGTCTGTGAACAGTGATCATTTCCATTACTCAATTTATAGTGTATTGGAGGATACTAAGTGTTGACTGTTTAAAGGTCACCAACTGCTATCTCATTTTTCCCTGTAACCTTTTTGTTGTTTGATTTTATGGAAAACTGGTTTTTACTCTTCATTATATGTGGCTGTATCAAGTCAGAAGATCTTTATAAGGTGTTGCCCCTTCTGTCCTTTCTTTTACGTCTATTTGTTATCGGTGTTATGGTGGGTGTGGCTGTTGTAATTCCTAATAATTTTGGTAATTGCACACCTTCTACCTGTACAAGTCAACTATACCATTTGAGTCATAACACGCAATGATACGATCAATAAATATGACATATCCGCTGAATGTATAATCAATATCATAATTATTTGTCGCAATGAAGTTTCATCAACTTCAATATATAATTTCATAGAGTAATCATTCTGGGACAAACAATTCAATCGGCCTAGAACAACGTCTTTCGAGTACGTATGTATGTTCACCTACTGTTGACCTCAACATTTCGGTTGTACGTTCCGATTGATTGAATGTTATTGGCCTATCGTCATTGAGATTATAAGTATTATTGATGTGATTTCGAAGCACGCGAGTTAATTAAGATAGAACGATATTGTTCAACCATGTTCAATATAGCTTTCTTATGATTTTATAAAATTACTTTCTATACCATCGGAAGGGGAAAGGGGGGCGAAAAGTACGAAAAAAGTTTAATTAGAATCCTTGCTGCTTCCTTTTATATTTTTTCTCATTTATTTCATAAAATTTTTCTCTTTGTTTTCTTTTTTCTTTTTGCCTGACTTTTAGACAATCACAAACAGTGAATTATTTAAATTTTATTTCTAAACTTAATTATACACATATAAATCACGTGTTTTAAAGTTCATCACAACATTGAACGATATATTGAAAGGTAACATGACTAAACATATAGTACTTCAGAATTTTCCTTAGCAGGAATTTTCTTCGTCAAAGTTTATCATTGATATTGTCATATTTATAAATTAACTGTTTACAAAACTTTTGAATTTTTGAAATACTAAGGCTTTTCTACCTCAGGAATAGATTACCTTAGCTGTATTTGGCAAAACTTTTAAGAATTTTGGTCCTCAATGCTCTTCAACTTCGTACTTTATTTGGCCTTTTTAACTTTTTGGGATTCGAGCGTCACTGATGAGTCTTTTGTAGACGAAACGCGCGTCTGGCGTAAATACAAAATTTAATCCTGGTATCTATGATGAGTTTATTTAAAAATACGATGAAGAAAATACTACAAAAATCCATAGCAACAGACGCAAGTGAATAACAATAAGATGAGTACAAATTATACAAAATAACATAAACAAGATAAAAACGAGTGAGTAGCAATTACAGACTTAGTTTTAAAGAAATATAACATATGAAAATCAAAATGCCGTTATACAGCATGCATGACCTAAAAAACAACTCACACATCTGTGTATAACGCAGTGAGTAATACATATATAAAAATAAGAAGATGTGGTATGATTGCCAATAAGACACCACCAGAGACCGATTGACATAGAAATTAACAACAGTTACTTTAGGTCACCGTACAGCCTTCAACAATAGGCAAACCCCATACCGCATAGTAAGCTTTAAAAGGCCCCGAAATAACAAATGTAAAGCAATTCAAACGAGAAAACTAATGCCCAGATTTAAGTACAAAACAATAAACGAAAAACCAATATAATATACAGCAACAAACGACAGCCACTGAATTTCAGGCTCCTGACTTGGGACAGGCACATGCATAATGTGGCGGGGTTAAACTTACAGACTATAAAAATCAGTTGAAAAGGGCTAATCTAATCAGATCGATACAAAGCACATAAAAAACCGTAGCAAAAACGCAAAAGACACAATGTCTGAATGTAATATGTCTGATTCAAAATATAATCCATCACTACCTTCTTTATTGAAATAAATCTTTAACGAATCCAAGAATCATGAATGTCGAATGTAGCATATGTCACTTCCAGTGCACACAAGATTACTGCCAGTCATATCAAACTTATACAGACGACATGTTTTAACACTATTATCAAATGTATATGAATTACACAACGAGTCCTTATTACATTTTTCTGCACAGTTTAAATTTGACCTTGCTTGTGGTTGATGCAGCTGTGAATAGTTTGATAAATCTTGAGTTGTTTTCTTGTAGCCACGATCTGTATTTTGACCGCCAACAATTTCTGTGTTAAGAAAATACCATGAAATATCTGAGAATAAATATACAATGATACTTCCTGACCACCCCCTCCAGGAGTTTAGCGAGGTTCTTATTTCTCAATCTTTCTTTTCTGTGTCGTGTTTTGTGGACTTTATGGTTTTTCATTGTCTCTTGATATCTCTCTCGTTTTGCAACAATAAACTATTAATGGGAACACTCTATTCCTAAATTAGGAGACATTGCATATCAAACATAATCATTACACATCCTTTAACTTTAATTCTAAAACATTAATTGACATTACGTGTCCGCCGATATAATTTTTTTTTTAAGGAGGGGAGGGGATGTAAAAACCAAGAGGTTTGCCAATGGTAGTTAAGCAATCAACCATATCGATACAATTGTGTTATAAAAAGTCCGAAATATTAAAAAATTCAAACATTTGAATAGTTGATTAATGTTTCGCATGCTCTATGTTTTGTGATAATGGCATGCACTTTTTGACTGATTTTTATAGATTGTTCTTATGTTGTATTATGACAGCATTATCCCAGGTTAGTGAAAGACTTCATTTTTGTAATAAGTTTTTGATTCTCAAATATTTGGCCTCGGGCATCACTGAAGAGACATTTATTGTTGAAATGCGCATCTGGTAATTAAGAATTTTGCAAACAAATCAACGAAATATGGTATATTTCAGTTTTATTGTATGATATCACTTATTTATTTATTGTGTGTCTTGCTTGTAAATGTATAAGTATATATGTAATTGTTAATGTATAATTGTTATCCTCTTGTAGCACCATACGTGTGCCTAAGTTGTAAATAAATTGTATTGTATTGTATTGTATTGGTACAGTAAAATTGGTCCGTACATGTTGTTATAGTATGCTACGGTAGCTTGGTCCCTGGCTTATACAAAGAGTCAACAGGAGTTTACTTATGTACAAAGGACATTATAAAGGTGATGTGATTGGAGGTTTTTTTCGGTGTTGGACTTGTGTTGTGTAACACCTTTGTCCAAGCTAAGGGGGAGGGTTGAGCGCTCACAAACATGTTAAACCCCGCCACATTCTTTATATGACTATGCCAAGTCAGGAGCCTGTTGTTCAGTGGTTGTCGTTGGTTCATGTCCGTCATGTTTTCCGTCAATTGTTATGTCATAAGTTAGGCCGTTATTTCTTCTCATTTGAATTGTTTCATATTCTTCATATTTTTTCATGTCAGAGTCTTTTATTGCCGACTATACGGTATGGGTTTTTCTCATTATTGAAGGCCGTTTGGTTGCTTATAATTGCTTACATCCGTTTCATTTGCACTTTGGTGAATAGTTGTCTCATTGGCAATTATACCACATCTCCTTGTATTTATACAATTTGTTTTCCGCGAACGGAAAAGATTCGTGACCTGGTGACTTACGTATGCAAACCGGATTAATTCCTTCCCAAGACAGACTAGTACTACACATATGTTCTAGATCACCAGATATATCAACAAATCCAGGTATACAACTGAAGATTACTTTGTCTCCGGGACTTCTTCCCTGTTCTTCTGTAACAGTGTTTGTAATTATTGGTGGTGTCGGACACAAGGGAGCTGTAAAATCAGTTAAGACAGTACAGTTTATAGCAAATATAAAAAAGACGTTTTCTCATTAATAACATTTGTATCTTTGAAAATTAATTGCCGAAAAACATATACCCATATGCGTTTGTTCCATTACTGTCTTATCAACTGGTGTTATAGTTGACGATAGATAATAACGTGGAAATGTACCACTACAGTCTCTATACTCTTTATATTGGTGTCGTAGATTTTCTCACACTTGTACTGAACATTGGCGTTTTTTTTCTTCCAACGGTGGCTTATATAGAACTCTTTATATAATTATTTTACGCAAAACAATTATTGAATAAGTTGCTTCCTATAACTATTGCATTTATTCAAGCGTGAAAGTTAATAAAATTGTACTTTTTGTACATTTATTGCCTTGAATATGTTTAACAAATGCTCTTAGGAGCCTGGATTGCTTCATGTTCTCTTACATAAAGTGGATACAATGCAAGAATATGTCCGAAAGAGTACGGGTAAAATCATTCTTCAAATGCAATTACTACAATAAGAGTCAATTAAACTTTTCCGTCATGTTGTTTTATTTGTAGATTTATTTTTTGATATGTCTCTAGTATTTATTTTTGTTGTTTAATGCTTTCTTCCTATAGATTCTGCAATGAAACACAATATTTGATTAAAATTGTCATTCAATGGCAATGATGGCTTACAATGTATTTGTAGATTTTGTCGTGTTGATCATTTATGTTGTTTTACATGTTCTCTTTATCTATTACAGTTTTCAAGATAATAGCTAAAATCACCAAATCAAAATTATAAGTGATCCGTCATTTGAGGCAATTACTCATGGAAGGATTTTCTGACAGTTTTGGTCAAAACTAACAGTATATAGATTTAGGCATATTGTGCTCATTACTGTCCCTGTCATTTTGTTTTCTTTCTACAAAGGTTAGCATAATAGACACTACTTGTGGTTTCCACTGTTTCCTTTTCTTTTGTGACAACAGCCATGTTGGTTGTCAGCGGGATCATCAGAAATTTTTATTTTAATACCTAAAGGAAAACTGTGGTTAAGTATGGTTCTAATTTGCCCTGTAGTTTCAGAGAAGAAGTTTTTTTTAAAGTTTCAGTTTACGGACGACGTCGCAAAGTAACGGGTTAGGTAAGCTAAAAGTATTTCTTTACCACTGCAAGATGGTACTATCAAATCCCATGTCCCCATATTGGTACATGTTCCTACTAAATTCCCAGCAGAATGTACGAATCCATCGTCACACACATATGTAACTGTATGATCAACGTTGTATCCTAAGACAGTATAACTTCCATTAGGAACTATTGGAGGTTCAGGACATGTTATAACTGCAATAGTTTGATAAATAATAAAATATTGTTACGTTCATTCCTTTAATTTGTTTAACAGTATGCGGATGGAAATATTCTAATTTGAAAAACTTCTATTTCATTCTTTTAACATTTTGGAAAGTTGAATTTAAGTATCATACTCAAAATTACTCTTGTTGTATCAGTTACGCGGCGTTTGAAAAGATCCCTAAGATTTGTTATTTGATGATTGTTGTACTTTTCTACTCTTTCCGACTGCAATGTTGAACAACTTTTATGTACGTAATCGATTGATTGTTTGCTAAAAACATGTGTTAATCCATAAGTCGACAATATTAATTCGTTCAAATGGCAATGACAAATTGTGAGCTCTGTCAATAGTATTTCGGTACGATGTAATGGTATGTAGTTTGTTGAATGTCAACATGCATGCCGTCGTTTCATCATGATGTTTGATTGCTATTACACTTGCGTAAATCAATGCGTGCATTATTCACATGTAATCAGATAAATTCTTTGTATTTTCACATTATAGTTAAAACAATATATGAGTCCACATAACTCGGATGTTGGCAACTATGGGTCACCACACGGTCTTTTTAACAATGAGCACGTATAGTCAGGTATAAAAAGACATGACAAAATGTGAAAAACTTTAAACGAGAAAACCAACGGCTTGAATTGATTCATGACAAAACAATGAACGAAAAACAAAATGACAGGCAACAACCGACGACAACCATTATATTACAGGCGTCTGACCATGGACAGGCACATATATGTGGGTGGTTAAAACATGTTTGCGATTGTTCTTCTCTCCCCGACACCTGAGTATTATATAAACAAAATGTTAAAATCATTTGGAATTGGATGACCTCAACTGATTGGCATAAACACCAAAACATCAAGCATTAAAACAAAATGATATAACTACTTTGTCAAAACAAAAAAAGGCACTTGCCAACTTGATAAGAAACCCTTAAGAAATAATTCCTAACAATTCTTTGACGTCATACATAGTATTCTACCTATAGTTGTATTTGTACTTTCGTTCTACAAGTATTGTAGTAGAACACGAAAATACGAGATTCTATTTATGAGCGTACAGGACGATGCTTACTTCAGAGATAGTCATTCGCATTGCAATGTGTATCATACCTTACCAACATACCCCACAAATTCAGTTGTATTTGTATTGAAATTTTAGAGAGCAGATGAAAAACAACAAAATAATTTGTAAAAATTACAAATATAATTATATTTTCTTAATTTCATTGTTTAGAGGAATTTGTTAGAACTATGTAGTATATCTTTTCGAGTGTCAGCAAGAAATCTAGATCTAATAAAATTATCAACGTGTAATAGCTGTTGACAAGCAGAAAGAAATAAAGATAGAAAGAAATATACAGGGAAAAAAGGAAAAAAAGGAAACTAAAAGGAAATTGCATTTGCCAAATTTGAAAACAAAATATGAAAGAGAGGCGAAAGATACCAAAGAGACGTTCAAACTCATAAGTCAAAAATAAACGCCATGGCAAAAAAGAAAAAGACCGAAAGACAAACAAAAGTATACGAAACATAACATAGAACTAAAACTGTCTTTATGAAATTATATTAATCACTCGATCTTCTAATGATTTTTAAAATGCACAATTTGAGCTTACTTGTACAAACTGGTAAAGCCCCACTCCATACACCACTCAAATCGCATGTGCGAACAAGATCGCCAGATGTGACGACATATCCTTGATCACATACATATGTGACATTGTCACCAGGCAATAACCCAGTGTATGAATTTGTACAGTATGCTATTAATTTTGGTATTGGACATGATGGAGCTAAAATATAGTCATTACAAGTCAAAAACGCGCTATAAAAATAAAATTACATCTAAAATAAGACGATACATATATGATCGACAGGAAAGAAAAGATATTTTGCAGAAATTAAATATTGATATCATACTACAGTTTCATTGGTCATACGACGATAGAATATTTTAATAAACTGGCATCGCATATGACGGAAAAGGTATATTTTGTTGTCAACATCCAACTTTCTATGTTATTGTGGAGGTACATTTTAGACATATTCAAAATTGAATATAAGAAGTCGACTGATAATTTCAGTCACGTTGACTTGTTTGTAGATTTTGTCTTAAAAATCATTTTTGCTATTTACAGTTCTCTATTAACTATAGTTTTCACAACAAAAACCCTAAAAATGGGTAAAAATCGTCATGCAAGGACAGTTACTCCTTTAAAAAGTCGATTAATGGTTTTGTATTTTTCACATATTTTTAGCTATCACTAGTATTTTAGATGATATTTTTGGCTATTTTCAGGGTCATTTTTTCTATTTACTATATTTTCTGCGTAAAAACGTAAAACTTGATAAATCAAGGCGACAGTAGTAGACCAATATTGAAACCTCGTCGTAAATCAACTAGGAAGAGACAAATCAAAGTAACAAACAAAATTTGAGGGAATCGCATTAGCTCCGAAAGGAGAGAGACCTGGTGCATCGACAGGGTAAACGCCTACAACCACAAACGCATCACCCGCCATGCAAAATCACACTTAGGATTCTGGACAATAAAAAGGGTGAATCACTCCGTGCTTCCGTCATAGACCAAAGACATATATCTGAATATTTAACATTGTTTTAGCAGACTTCACAAAACAGTTATTGGAAACAAGTCATTTCTCTCTGTTATTGTGTCAACAAGAACATGACACAGCGCATAGAAAAAGCATTTTGTTGTAACACGCATCACGTATACCGCCCAACACATTAATTGCAGGAGAGGATTGCATCTTCGCTAGCCAAGGGTTACGATCCAGTCCCCTCCTCGCCACCCTTGGCGGATTATGATAGCTTTTTGGATCCACGAGGTAATTATTTCCATTGGTCGCAGTTGTAACTGGCTGCATCCAATCAAAAAGTGCCTTTAAGATGTTCACGTGTAAATGTAGAAAAAAAAACAATTGCCACGTCCTGATTGTGCAAAAAGTCTTTACCCCAAAAACATAGGACGATATTTAGTGATAATTTTAAAGTTTTTAATCAACTAATTGAAGTCCAGGGGTAAGTTTCTCGTGCAAATATTGGAATGTCAACGTATGTTTTCGGTTCCTGCTTCACGAAATTTGTAAACACTATACACAACCCGTTTTATACCTCCACACTGAAGAGACTTCAAGTCCTGACATTGGTCAAGAATGATGTAGTCGGAACGGGCGTGACGTTTATTTATCGGTAGATGGCGCAGTATTGTAATCATAAATGTTGACTTAATCTGCCAAGGGTGGAGAGGAGGGACTGGATCGTAACCCTTGGCTAGCGAAGATAGAGAGGATGTAATAAGGACGATACAATTACTTTTTTCGTTTGTAAGTTGGAACGGACAAAACGAAATGATACCAATACAGGTTGGACAAGGAATCAAATACAATTGAACTATCTTCCATTACAAAAATGAAGAAATTTTTTAGTGTTTTAATTGCTTTTAGTTTGCATTTTCCATCTATTTTGTATCCTATATTTACAATAAATAAATACAACAATTATATTTGACCTTATATTTAAAACAAGAATGTGCCCATAGTACATGGATGCCCTATTTTCTATTTCCAGTGGACCGTGACATTGGGGTCAAAACTCTAATTTGGCATTACAATTAGAAAGATCATATCATAGGAAACATATGTACTAAGTTTCAAGTTGATTGGATTTCAACTTCATCAAAAACTACCTTGACCAAAAACTTTAACCTGAAGCAGGACAGACGGACGGACGGACGGACGAACGAACGAACGAGCGGACACACAGACTGAAAAACACAATGCTTCTCTACTATCGTAGGTGGGGCATAATAGAATCAGGTCTTTTTTATGCTGAAATGGTTAAATGTGAAGCGCATTCAAATCAGATTGAAAAGTTAAGAGACAGAGATGCTGCATTCGTTTTGAAATGCTAAAGAAAGTTCAAAGTGTCAAGAATTTTCAATGAAATAATAGAGAAATAAGTATCATGCATATATAGGTTTTGTGTGGCTGTAACACACAGATTCATTTATCCAAACGACGTATTCTAAATGTACCTTGTGTTGTTGCTTCGACTGTTGTTTGATCTGAAAAAATGATTTGTTTACTCATTAGATCTCATTAAGTGGAATTATCTTATAAATTATATCACACTAATGATTAAATTTAAGTTATTCTACAGCAGCATTTTGTACCTTTCGTGTGCAGTTTTCAGTTGCCATATATGTGCCGGAATGCTGACTCAAACATTTGAGCATCCATTGTAGGCATAAATTTTCTTGTTAGAAACAACTTTGAAAACAACATGTTATCACGTCACGTTTTCGGCGGAATAAGTTACTGATATTCTTCAAAAGTGAATGAACTGTCAACGTGTAAACGAACAGCGGATTTTAATCTTTACCTTGAAAAAGAAATATATATTTTTATACCATATTTCTACTTACAAGAGCAACATGAAGGGTTTTACATGTGGAGCAGGATCTTCCAAACTTTCTAGAACACCTAAGATCACCTCGATTTTTTTATGGAGTTCATGTTGCTCAGTTTTTAATCTTTTGTGTTGTGTTTGGAAGACTCTGTCTGTCTTTTGGTCTTTTGTGTTGTGTATGGAAGACTCTGTCTGTCTTTTGGTTTTATTTGTTGTGTTTTTTGCTACTGAGTTATCAGTTGGGATTCAACTTATGAGTTTGAATATCACTTTGGTACCTCCCGCCTCTCTTCTATATCACACACCACGTATACCGTCCGAAACTCTTCTATATCACACACCACGTATACCGTCCGCCTCTCTTCTATATCACACACCACGTATACCGTCCGACACTCTTCTATATCACACACCACGTATACTGTCCGCCTCTCTTCTATATCACACACCACGTATACCTCCCGCCTCTCTTATATATCACACACCACGTATACCGTCCGACACTCTTCTATATCTCACACCACGTATACCGTCCGCCTCTCTTCTATATCACATACCACGTATACCTCCCGCCTCTCTTATATATCACACACCACGTATACCGTCCGACACTCTTCTATATCACACACCACGTATATCGTCCACCTCTCTTCTATATCACACACCAAGTATACCGTCCGCCTCTCTTCTATATCACACACCACGTATACCGTCCGACACTCTTCTATATCACACATCACGTATACTGTCCGCCTCTCTTCTATATCACACACCACGTATACCGTCCGACACTCTTCTATATCACACACCACGTATATCTCCCGCCTCTCTTATATATCACACACCACGTATACCGTCCGACACTCTTCTATATCACACACCACGTATACCTCCCGCCTCTCTTATATATCACACACCACGTATACCGTCCGACACTCTTCTATATCACACACCACGTATATCGTCCGCCTCTCTTCTATATCACACACCACGTATACCGTCCGCCTCTCTTCTAAATCACACACCACGTATACCGTCCGACACTCTTCTATATCACACATCACGTATACTGTCCGCCTCTCTTCTATATCACACACCACGTATACCGTCCGACACTCTTCTATATCACACACCACGTATACCTCCCGCCTCTCTTATATATCACACACCACGTATACCGTCCGACACTCTTCTATATCACACACCACGTATACCTCCCGCCTCTCTTATATATCACACACCAAGTATACCGTCCGACACTCTTCTATATCACACACCACGTATACCGTCCGCCTCTCTTCTATATCACACACCACGTATACCGTCCGCCTCTCTTCTATATCACACACCACGTATACCGTCCGGCACTCTTCTATATCACACACTACGTATACCGTCCGCCTCTCTTCTATATCACACATCACGTATACCGTCCGCCTCTCTTCTTTATCACACACCACGTATACCGTCCGCCTCTCTTCTATATCACAAACCACGTATACCGTCCGACACTCTTCTATATCACACACCACGTATACCGTCCGACTCTCTTCTATATCACACACCACGTATACCGTCCGACTCTCTTCTATATCACACATCACGTATACCGTCAGACTCTCTTCTATATCACACACCACGTATACCGTCCGCCTCTCTTATATATCACACACCACGTATACCGTCCTACACTTAGCATAAGAGGAGAGAATAAGGACTGTACAATAAGTTTTTTTTTCGTTTTTAAGATAGAACGGACAAAACATGATGAAACCAATTTACAGGTTGGACAAGGATTAAATTAAATCGAACTATCTTCCTTTACAAAAGTGAAGACATTTTTCAATGTTGTGGGTGTTTTTTCTCCGTTTTCCATTTATTTGGTATCCTATGTTTCAATAAATGAATGCAATAATTATATATAGACTGATACTTAAAAATAAATTCAGATCATTTGCATGCTGAAATGGTTTAACGAAAATGATCAGAATGAAAAGTTAAAATGAATTAACAGACAGCGATAGTGCATTCGTTTTGAAAAGCTAGAGAGTGTTCTAAGTGTCAAGAATTTAATAATATTTTTTAGGTATAAGTTTCATGCATGTATATGTATTGTGTGGCTGTTACACACGGATTCATTTATCAAAAAGACGTATGTTAAATGTACCTTGTGAAGGGGCTGCGGCTGTTGTTTGGTCTGAAAAAAAATAAACTTATTTACTCTCTAGATCTCAATATGTGAAATGGTCTCATAAAATATGTCAAACTAAATAAATTACTGTAATAAAGTTTCTATTCCACAGCAGCATTGTGTACCTGTAATGTCTGCTGTGTTTTTTTTTTTTGTTTTTTTTTGTTTTTTTTTTTTTTCTCTTTTTTTTATTTTGGGAGGGATCTCTTTTTTCATTAAAATTTTAAACATTTGTCATATTCTTTACAGAGGCATTTAAAATATGAAAGCTTGTTTGTATTTTGGATGGTGTTTGATCATGATAGTGTATTCCAACTGTTTTTCGCTGTTCTAGATCTTAAATTTCATAACCATCTCGAGTTGCACGTGTGTGTCACTGGATTTGACAGAACTATGACATAATCACCATGTCGGGTTCACTCCCTTTTCATTCGGTTAACCTTGATACCAATGAGCAGTTTTCAATTGCCTTATATTTATGGAATTGAACCTCAAACATTTGATCATACATTGTCTCTATGAATTTCCATAGTAACAAACAACTTTCACAACAACACGTTATCACTTCACGTTTCCAGCGGTTTAAGGAACTATTTTTCCACCATTAATGAACTGTCAAAGTGTAAGCAAAACAACAGAGTTTTCATATTTGCCATAAAAACTAACTATATTTCTAAATATTGTAATCAAATAGTCCGTTTCTATGTATGTTGGCGTTTGTTTTTGTTGCAGTTTAGTGTTTCTGTTGTTCCGTTGTTTTCCTCTTATAGTTTATGTGTTTCCCTCGGTTTTAGTTTGTAACCCGGATTTGTTTTCTCTTAATCGATTTATGACTTTTGAACAGCGGTATACTACTGTTGCCTTTATCGAAACCATATTTTACTTACATGAGCAACACGACGGGTGCCATATGTGGAGCAGGATCTACTTACCCTGCCGGAGCACTTGAGATCACCTACAGTTTAGGCGGGATACTTGTTGCTCATTCTTTAGTTTTCTTTGTTGTGTTTTGTGTGCCGTTGTTTGTCTTTCGTTCGTTTTTCGCTGTTTTTCAATTGCGCTGTCAGTTTGTCATCAACTTTTGACTGTGATTAGCCCTTTGTTATTCTTCTGTCTCTCTTATAAGATAGCTTCATCTTAAATGCTTGTCAACAAAATAAATACAATACACTTATAATTGTCAACGGCGTTATATGATTTACGAGACTTCTCTCCCCTAGGCAATCAAATAAGCATCATCTAATGTCGGCAAGATTTGTAACAAAACAACACAAGCTCTCATTGCAACAAAACAACACAGGCTATCATGGCAAAAAAACAACACAATCATAACAATAATACAACACTCATTAACCTTTTGACCGACATAAAAGCTGTCTTCGATCGAATTGTCGTACAAAAGCCTTGATAACTTTTTATATTGAATCTTAAACTTTAGAGTTGAATATGCGTAATAGTATTAGTTAACTGTGTGCTAGTGACCTAATTATACGGGGTCCCTTATGAATATTTTGTAGACGAAGCGCGCGTTTGGCGTACACAATTTCAATCCTCGTATCGATTTTGAATTTATTATCAGTAAATTTCATATGAAGCGAGTCGAGCGAAGCTCGAGCCCAATCTGGAATTGACTGAACCCACTGATGTATTCAAAACCAAATGCCATTAATAAGAATTTGATATCAAAGAACTACTACTAACTGTGTATTTCAAATAAACCACGCCCGCTGACCTAGTACTAAATATACACGTTAAGTACGTGCTCGCTTTTAACCAATGATTAACTTAGAATTGTATAATAAAATATTTTCCCTACTTTCTTCAACATAATATTGTTAAGAGGCTTTGGACTGATGTGATTTTTGTCGGAATGGGAATACTTAGAAGATTGAAAAAAAAATGAAAACAACACGTTATAAATGTCATGCGTCCGAATAAACGTAACTTTATCCATAGCATATTTCATTCTATTAATCAGAAAATTGTTTTCCACAATATCAGTCCTCTTGTTTTGTGGTTTACAGATACACCTAACTTAGTATAATGTTTTAAACATACAAACATATAGGGGCAATTTCCCAAAAACATTTATTTCACACAAGCGCCATTCTCAAAAGGTCAATAAATGTTTAATAAAATTCACATTATTACAGCCCCAAGTGTGTACATTTGTACTCCGAGGTTTAAACAATATACTGGGTTATTTCTAAACAGATCACCAAATTATAAAATGCCTGAAGATAACCCAAGACTTTAACCTCGACATGTTTTGGTATGCTTTGATCAGTTATATCAAAACTGCATGTAACCTGCGGAAGGTTAACATAGTATTGCATATGACAAGTCAAAGTATGATTATAAATTGCTTTCAACGATGTCATAAACAAAGGAAATGAAAATCAAAATTGGAAACGTTAGTTCTTGAATATCGTATAAAGCAAGAAATTATTTGTAAATTATTAGGGAGGTTTACGGGTGTTCAAAGCAACAAAACATTTATGAATTTCTCAAAAGTAGTTATATACAAATAATAAGGTATAAATTTATGAAATGAAAATTACATACCGCATGTGTCTGGTACAACTGGTAGTGCTGTAAATAAAGCAAATGTTCATAACGATAAGTTAATGTATGTATGTATTCATAAATGCACATTTATAATCCGAGTGGTTGATGGCATATTCATGAAACAAATAACTGTAACACAATTGCAAATAATCATAAAATTATATAAAAATAAATTCTTTTCATAAAGTAAGAACTTAATTGAGATACACTATAAATACTAATGCAGATGTGGAGTCCACACTGCTCAGTGTAAACGACTTTTTAATGAGTAGAACAGCAACTCCAGCTGCATAAGTATTAAAGACAAAAAAATATGCAATTGATCAATTTAAGATGATTTTATGAATCCTGGATGGACAGTGTCAGTATTTTTCGAGCAGCTTACATAAAGACTTGTAAAGTTCGTATGGTAAGAAAAAAATATGTTTCATCTTGAACCACACTAAGAATACAAAGATCACAATTTTGTTATCTCTTTGTTTTGTTACTATTTTTTATTTAACCATCAATATTTCTAAGAAATTGTCCCTTAATTGCATTTTACATAATATCTTTCTATTTTCAAAATTATTTGGAAGAATTTCTAAAACAGGATTTATATATTTTGTCCCGAAAATATAACTTCAGGAATAATATCATTCGTATTATTCGTATTATAGATTTGCTCAGTCTATCTTTAAATTACATCGTATAATGATTGTCGGAATTTCCGGATTCGTTACAAATATAAAAGCGCAGCTATTTTTATCTTTTTATATTTTCGTCCGTTGGTTTGTTGTTGCATTGACTTAGACCCTACATCTCATTTTATTCATATCAAATAAAGGGCTACTTTAATACAGAATCACGCACGCAAGAGATATAGTTAGATGTTACTTTGACTTTCGTATGATTAATTCTTTATGATGGTTGCTGGTGAAATGAAAAATAACAACATCATAATTTCGGACTTTTTCATATAGAGTACATTGAATAAAAACGTTCCCGGACTGAATATTAAAAGATATTGCCTAGAAAAGTAGGCAGATGATCTATAAAATAAATTACGGAATAGATGAAAAGGAGAGAACAAAACATCATTAATGAAAGTAAATCACATACATAAACAATCAGCAATTCCACAGAAATCGTAGTAATTATCCCCAGATATGTAACACCAAGGTTTTCCTTTGAGTCCACCAGGATCTCTACAATACGCGCCGGCTAAAGAGACTGACCCATCAGGAAAGCTACCATCTGTATATCCATGATTGAGGGAATCCCATCGCACACATGGTGTTCCATCAGAGGTGCAGACCTGCCGACCCTGGTACCACTGAGACTGTCCATCTGCGCTATCGTAACATTCAGTATCTGTGTTTGTATACAAACATTGCTAACTGTAAATATTCATCGTGGATAACATGCTACGGGTTGCTGTCTATTTAAGGTGAAGTAGGGCCTTCAGTGTTTCAGATATTTTTATTTGAAATGTGTATGCATTTACAATTTCAGACAGACAATCAATTTCATCCGATATATATTATGTATATTATACAAAGAAGCGATGGAAAATGCATTCATTCGTTTAAAATGTAATTTTTCGAAATTCCGTCCGCAAATATTGTACGGTATTGCAGTGAACATTTTAATGATATGCACATATTCATTATTTAGATTATTTAGATGCTTTTTAGAGAAAAGAACAAAATACTTAAATTCTGTCATTACGTAATTAAATCGGGTCGCGTGGTTTTTAGTTGAAAGAATTGAAATGTAAATATTTTCGTTTTGTGATCTGCTAAACTTTGTTTTTAAACTGGTATGGCGTGTCTTCACTTAAAGGGAGGAGAAGAATTAAAAAAAAATCAGAACTTGCATACACCATGGAAAAGAACTAAACGGATGGTTGCATAAAATGTTCAACAGTCAAAAAATGCAATGCGTTTTAGATAAATGTTCAATTCTCTGCAAAGTAATCGTGTTTCTCCTTCACTAAAAGACAAAAAAAGATAAAATGGAATAAAACTACCTCCACATGACCTGGATCCGTTAGTCCATACACCGTTGGCTTGACAAACCTCCACCGGACAGAAATCATGGACTGGTGAAACCTTAGATAACAGATTTTTACACTTGTAGTGTATAACTGTTCCGTACGTCGTTGGTGGTATTGTGATTGGATGTATTTCCGTACAAGGATGATCAAATGGTACCTGCAAGTCTGCCAGGCCACAATCAGCTAAGAAAGTAAAGAGATGTAAACTAGGGACTTTTCATTTGTTGAAGGTTGTTGTATATAGATCTTCTAATTTCTTTGTGTTTTTTTGAGTGACTTGGTTGCTGCACCAGTGATTTATATTCTCACATTTAGATTTTTTTAGAATGTGAAAAAAAGTACTTGTGTTGAGGTATATAACTTAGCTCTTTTGCACATAATTTTCCATTTGTTTTTTTTTATCTAAAAATTAAGTTTTGTGGGTTATTTTTTTAAGAAACTTATTCATATATAAACGATTATTTAATCTTAGATCGTTTTTATTACTAAATCCTTTATCTAAATAATGTTTTTTCAATTAAGACTTTAATCTACTTTCATGTGGCATGTGATATGTTCATTTTTGAATGCGTATATCACTTCTCCTTACTTTTAGCATCTAGTTTGGCATCTTTTTTAATCCTTTAAAGAAACTCACCACATTCTCCGTAATCTATTGGCACTTCTGAAATCATTTATACGAGTTTTAATAACAAATATGACGATAACGACGAAACAATAATGACGATGACGACGAAACAACAATGACGATGACGACAATGGTAATGATGTAAATAAAGTCACAAACTAGCTTACATAGTTGTAATACATTCACCTTCAAAATTTAAGACGGGATTAATCGTCGCCTTTATATCTGTGCATATAGCTGTCAAAATATTAGATATATGTTCTTTGTTTTTCGCAATTGAAAACCGTTGAAAAACCTTCAAATATTCTCCCGTTTTTAATGTTCTACTATTCTAATATAATACTTCGCTTTTTATGCCCCACCTAGGGGCATTATGTTTTTCGGTCTGTGCGTCCGTTCGTTCGTTCGTCGTTCCGTCCGTTTGTCTGTTCGTCCGTCTGTCCCACTTCAGGTAAAAGTTTTTGGTCTTTCAGGTTAAAGTTTTTGTTCAAGGATTTTTTTAATGAAGTTGAAATTCAACCAACTTGAAACTTAGTACACATGTTTCCTATGATATGATCTTTCTTATTTTAATGCCAAATTAGAGTTTTGGCCCCAATTTCACGGTCCACTGAACATAGAAAATGATAGTTCGAGTGGGGCCTCCGTGTACAATGGACACATTCTTGTTAGTGTAGTGTTTTGTAGACTGGTTTATTTATCGTCGATTATCGTACTTTTCCCGGACTTTGTCGGTTTCTCTTCGAACTATGAGTTTCCATTCTTCCTTTGGCATCTTCCACCTCTTTTAATTGACCAGTAGGGTTATTCGGTTTTATAAAACTTATTTCGTACATTCACTTTCAGTCGTATTCTTCTATGCAATTGCAAGCCTTATGTTGAGAAAATTTCGTATAAAGGAGGTTAGACAATGATTTCACTTTTAATAAGAATACAATTTAATCATATTAACTATGCTAGAAACTGAAGACGGTATAGCTCACCCGGTATCATTGCATAGTTAATTGACTCACTATGAATAATTCAAAAAATGCATTTGAAAGGTTATTTTAAAAGAACTGAAGTCTGAAAGCTTCTTTTGTTGTTTTATTGCGGTGTAAAGGCGTTGGACAAAAATAATATGTATGAAGCGTGGAATACGAATTAAATTACATTTACATTTAATGCTAGAACAGGAAAGACTTAAATCAAGTTTTTCGTTTGTTTTGCTTTTAATAGTCCCACTGTGTGTTGTAATATTTGTCTTGGAGAGCACGTGAAATCATAGATGTTTCGTTTTATTTGGTTTTCTGCATCAATCGAAATATTTGCAGACGATGTACACAATGGAGATAACAGCTAGACAGAAAACGAACCTGTACATTCTGGTATTTCACAGATTTCCCAGACAACACTAGAATTGGTTGTATAACACCATGGTTCCCCGACAGAGCCTGTTGGATCACGACAGTAGTTGTTAGCGAGATCGATACTGGTATCCGGAAAGTCTGCACTAGCGTATGTATGGGAATGTGGAGATTGCTGATTCCAGGCTTGACATGTCGTCCCAGACAATCCACAGTTGCGTTTTCCCGCGTATAAGTGTGATGACCCGGATGTATAACATTCATCCTCTGAAATCAATTTAATCATGGAATAAATTCGTGGTCGATCTTATTACTTATTGAAAATTAGATACACAATGTATCAGTTTTTTTATAAGATTTATTTTGATATATTTTTAGATTGCAGAATCTTTCATTAATCGTATTTTAAAATTACATTTTAGACACGCAAAAAACTTTGTTTAGAAAAAGGGGAAATAACTTACGAGCACAAGATAGTTCAGCGTCTGTCCAGTTGCCAGTATTACTTGTTGTGCAAAGTTCCACTGGGCAAAAGTCGAATTCTGCAGTTTGAAGTGAATACAGACGAGAAGAGCAACGGTATGTGACGTTAGAACCATACGTCGTCGTGTACGGGGGAATCAAATGCACGGTTAAACATGTATCATCGACAAATACCATCAAGTCGTTATCCACACAGTCTGTCAATTAAAATGTTGAAATTAGTATTGATGATATTTGTCTAAAATAGCTACTATTCATATTTTTTTTTTTTATTGCATTAGATTTAATTTTAATTTATAATATTCAAATGCAATATAACAACAGTAACACAACGATAAAATATATATATACTCTTTGGTCGGGTTGTTGTCTCTTTGACATATTCCCCATTTCCATTCTCAATTTTATATATATTATAACAGGGTTGCATTGGATCAAAATAACATTCTAAAAAGTAATAATACAAGCATCAAAAAATAAATTTCACACTTTAACAGAGACAAAGAGAAACAAAAGTCTATTCTGCATA